GCCCTAATCAGGTCAGAGGTAATGGCTTCTATTGGGAGAAGCTGGGCTTTTCATAGGATTCTTTTCCTCGTTTCACCGTCTTGCTACCACTCTTTTGCTGCCATTATCTTTACTCCCACTGTGTAGAAATCCCAGTGCTATCTCAAGAAATAGCTTCATATGCACATGTAAGTCTCAAGCTAAGTTTTCACAGCCTAAGCTTCAGGGAAGAAAACGAGAGCTAACAGCCACCTGCCTACATTGTCTTCCTGTCACCAGAAAAGGAGTCTGGCTAGCACAGAGGCAATGGACTTGTGTTACTTAAGCTGTGGTCAAGTCCTGCTATCTGGAAGCATCTCAAAAGAGAGAGAGAGAGAGAGAGAGAGAGAGAGAGAGAGAGTTGGATGGATGGATGGATGGGACGCTAAAGAAATAATGATTGGTATTAGTAATCAGACCTTATGTAACTAAGTTGGCTCACAGATTTCAGATCCTACTAAGAGCAACTTTGAGCTCAGGAGGCCTTTTCAGTAACCACTGAGCCCCCTCTTTGACTTTTGTTGATTGGCAGGAACCCCCATCACCTGACAATTACATGGATTCAGGTATTGTACAAGTTAAATCAAGTTCCCTCAACAGAACACTCTTACAGAAATAGCCTGACCCAATATGATTAACTGCAAAGGCAAATGGTTTTTTCCCATGGTCCTTGACAGGTTCCCTTGGAGTATTTCAAATATCCCAGCGACGTGCAGACACAGGCTTCCAGGTGTACCTAGGGTGGCTTCTGCTGCAGTGCCACATATAGTCGAGGCCTCTTTTAACAAAAATACTTACTTTGACACTTCAATGACTCTGATCTCCAAGATGTGAGTGCTCCCTCTGAAATGCAAATTACAATAGGCCTCCTCATTCTGTGTGACTTTTGTTCATAGGTTGTCTGGAGGTTGCTTGAAAAAAACAAACGAACCTACAACCTTTGTTTTCTATTTTTTAAAAAACTTGGCTAACCATTGTGTATCTTTATCAATCATGTTGTGAAATGTTAAAAGAGTTTATTCTTCAAATTGTCCAGATGCACGTTATTTGCTGATATGAGTGTGTTTTGGGAACGTAATAGCAGTCCTCTATAAAAGACTTTGTTTTTCTGGCACCAAGCAGAATCAAAGAGAAGGGAAGACTGAGTTAGAGATGGTTACAGTTGGAGGGGAATGAAAGTCTGTAGTAGGGTGGTAGTCTTAGAAATCGAAAAGAAGGTAAAATGTGAACAGTATTGGAGAGGTGAGAAGACTTGGCAGAAGGAAAGGGATGAGCTGAAGACAGCACCCAAACCTGGATGGTTGGGTCAGTCTTAGTGCCACTGATGGAAATAGAGAAGTCTTAGACTGCTTTTTACCTTTCCTAGCACGTAGCAGAGGTCCTTGTAGCCCTCGATATGTTTGATTTCATCAGCTACTCAAAGTGAATGAAGCAATCTTGACCTCACTCATTTCCAGGAGGTTGCTATCACTTTTATCCCTCTTTTTTTTTTAAACTGTGAAACCTAAGCTGACTCCATTGCTCTCTCATACTTAGCCTTTAGGCTAGAGAGTGTAAATGGGGGTAAAGAATTCTCTGACCAATTTGTGCCCCTTCCAAGAAGATGAAAGATAGCACTGGCAGAATATAGCCAAAATATGAGAATGGTATAGGTGGCCCACAAAATATAGGAAATTCCTGGAGTTAGAAGCTAAAATATGTGATAGCATCTATAGTCTCTGAAAATTATTCATTTATAATACGACTCAGTAGGGTTGGCGCTGAAGGAGGGAGCAAATGAGTAAGTTTTCAGACTCCAGCTTCTTGAGGAATAGATGAATAATTAACAGAAGAAAATCCCAGTGCTCTGGCCCTGGTTTTGGTTTGCATTAGAGGCTTGGGGATCAGAGTCTTTTAAGCAGAAGGTTGACACAGCTTCTTCTGCTCTCATATCTCACACCGTCCTGGAAATCCAGTCAGTCAGATGTCTACTGAGCACCTGCCTTGTTGCCCAGCCTTGTATTAACCTGCTGTGGGGGACTCCCCACATCCCTATATATGACTCAAGGAGCTTACCCATGAGCTATAGAAACAGCAGTTACCTAAAGCTGGATTTAGAGACTCGATCTCCTACATACTCACCATGCAAGTCATTTTCGCTCTTTGGGCCTTCTCTTTTTTCTCCTGTGTAAAATGGGATGGGACTAAGATGATGTCTCAGGTCCCTCCTAGCTCTTATATTTAGCAGAGTTAGAAAACCAGATACTGTGTGACCAGGAACTAAGGATTCACGTGTCTGTGTGATGATGCAGATGGTAAGCACAATAATTCGGAGAGAGGAGAGAGAACCAAGCATCCGGTCAATTATCAAGTATTTACCGAGTGCTTTCTCTGTGTAAGGCGCTAGGGAAAAGAGCCCCAAAGATGAAATGATCCCCATCTGCCAGGTGCTTACATGCTGTGATCAGTGTGCCGTCAGGGCAGCCAGTGGCCCTCAGGCCAAACTTGAAGGATGGGGCATTTGGAGAAGGGAAAAGAGAGGAGCATGTTAGCAAGGAGAAGCAGATTAAATGAGGGCAAGAGGCTGGAACAAAAATGGTATTTCATTTTTAACATTAATTTTTTTTTAATTTTGAGTTCCGAATTCTCGCTTTCCCCCCACCCCTCCCCCATTGTGGAGGCAAGAAATGTGATCTTAATTATATATGCAAAATGATGCAAAACATATTTCCGTGTTAGCCATGTGGCAAAAAACAACAATAACAAAAAAAAAAAAAGAAATGAAACAAAGCAAAAAAAAAAATCCCAAGAAAAATAAAATTAAAAAATTATACTTCAGTATGCATTCAGACTCTGGAGGTGGATAGCATTTTATCATAAGGCCTTTGGAATTGTCTTGGATCATTGCATCGCTGAGAATAGCTAAGTCATTCACAGGTGATCTTCATACAATATTTCTGTTATTGTGTGCAATGTTCTCCTGATTCTGCTCACTTCACTTTACATCAATTCATATAAGTCTTCCCAGGTTTTTCTAAAACCATCCTGCTGGTCATTTCTTATAACTCAATAGTATTCCATCACAATCATATACTACAGCTTGTTCAGTTGTTGCCCAGTTAATAATAATTCCCAATTCTTTGCCACACGACAAAAAGAGCTGCTATAAATATTTTTGTACACATAGGTCCTTTTACTTTTTCTTTGATCTCTTTGGGATACAGATCTAGTAGTGATATTGCTGGGTCAGAGGGTATGTACAATTTTATAGCCCTTTGGGAGAAATTCCAAATCGCTCTCCAGAGTGATTGGATCAGTTCACAACTCCATCAGCAGTACATTAATGTCCCCCAAAAATGGTGTTTCAGGAGAGGGATGACATAGCCAGGAGACCACCCAAGTTGTATGAGAGTACTGATAGGGGAATGTGTAAGAGGAGGCCAGATCTAGAGGATGAGCCCACTGAACTTTCCAGGCTCAGAAGGGCTAGACCTTACTCTTCTCTTCAGCCTTCATACCACGCAAAGGACCAGAAGAGATCTGAAGCTGTTGGAGGGCAGTTAGTTGCTCCAGCACATCTGGTTACAATAAGCTTTCAATAACAAAAACCCTTGAATAAAATGTCAGTGTTCTTGTGTTCATGCTAATTGATACTGTATGTGTGTGTGTGTGTGTGTGTGTGTGTGTGTGTGTGTGTGTGGTTTTTGTCTTTTTCTTCCTGTTCCTTAATGTAAATACTTTTAAAAAGCACAGCTGGATTTCTAGAACACTCCCTGGTAACCCCAGAGTATGCAGAAGGTGGGAAAAACCCCTTTTGTTTTACTGATGACCATGTGGACGGGGGTACCATGCAATGGCCGAGCTTTGCCAGGTGCTTTTAGATTTCTGCTCTAAGCCCAGAAATAGAGCCTGAATGGGCACAATAGCCAAAGGTGCCAGGGCCTGACTGACAGCGTCTTTACATGAAATTGGAAGACCAATAAAAGCTGTCATTTCCAGAAATTCACCTTAGATCTTAACTTCCTCAAACCCTCTCCACCTCCATTCCTCAGATCTGTAGGCAGTTTGGGCTGAGGAAGTTCAAGGGCAGGCAAGGCCTCAAGGAAACAGGTTGGCCCATTGGCCAAGAGACACTCACAAGCACATCCAGAAGAAGGCGACCATGATGGGGACAGCATTAGAGGCTGGATTGCTGATAGCTGGAGAAGGCTTGGGGAAAGCAAGATAGCTTTCTTTAAGTATTTGAAAAGTTGTCTCAGATGAGGGATCAGACTTATTCTTCTTGGCCCTCAAGTACAAAATTAGGAGAAACGGAATAGATTATAGTTCAGCATAAACAAAAATGATCTACAGGGCTGGCCCAAAGTACAGTGGACTTTCTTGGAGAAGGCAAGGGGGAGGAGACCTGAGTTTCTCATCACTTAAGAAGGTCTTCACTTGGAGGTTGGATGACTACTTGTGAATGATGTAATGGGTAGTCATCATTTGGATAATGGCACCAGACAACCTTTGAGGTTCCTCCCACTTCTGAGACTGGGTGATTCCAAGCATCAAGGGGGAAAATTGGTCACCATGAGTTCTCTCATGGGTTTTCTCTGAATTCTGGGCCTCCCTGTGCTTTAGGTTTTCCTTCCGTAGAAGCATAACAGTATTTGTCATATTAGAATTTGTCTCCCTAAAGGGTGGGTTCTAGTCTTAGTTTTTTCACTAAATGACTGTGAAAATAGAAAAATCACTTAAGTTCTCTGGGCTTCGGCTCTGCCATCTGTAAAATGGAAAGACCAGTGTATGTTCCGCCTATGTGGCAGGGTTCTCATGTGGATCAATGAGTTTGTGAATGGGAAAATACTTTAAAAAATACAAAATGCTCCGCAGACACAAGGTCGTTCATTATTGTGTCCTAATTGTGAAGTGTTTTAGAAATGATCAGCTCATACAAATATTATTGGTGGTATTTTTCTTTTGTTGGAAAAAAATGGCATTTCTTTCTCCCCTTCTCTTAGGAATCTTGGGGAACTGATTGATCGATTTGTTGCTGATTTCAAGGCCATGGGGCTTCCCAAAGCAAACACGGATGAAGGCGGTGCTGTGCTGCCCAGCTGTGCTGACCTCTTTGTCTATTACAAGAAGTGCATGGTACAGTGCTCACAGCTCAGCACTGGGGAGCCAATGATTGCTCTGACCACCATATTCCAGAAGTATCTCCGGGAATATGCTTGGAAAATACTCTCCGGCAATTTGCCCAAGTGAGTTGCGTTCTCTTTTCCACTCTTCAAGTGGTGACACACGATCTGAATGAGGAGGAATTATCCAGAATTCTGAGCTCTAACATTATACACTTAAGATTGGTAAGAAAGTTCCTTGGGACGTGGCAAGTTATCAGACTAAGTTCATCTCCTTGTGAGAAGTACCAGCCAGTAAAGAAGCCAGTAACAGCGAGCGAGGGGGAGGCCGAGGCCCTGATTGGGTCTTTAAGAATCTGAAACGACTTCCTCTGTATTGCAAGTCCTTTGTATCTATTGGGAAAACAACTGTGTGTGGACAGCTACAGTCAAATCTGAGAGACCATCCATGTTTTTTTGTCATTGATTATTGCTTACAGTTGATGAGTCATTGATTAGGGCTTGAAAATATTTGGGGTTACTTAGAGATTTTCCTTGTAATAGGATTTGACCAGTAACCAAATAGTCGGCCTCTCAGTTTACTTTGCGTAATCGGTCCCCAAGGCTGTGGTTTGGCCTTCTGCTGTTATTGGTCATATGTGTTACATGTGAATATTCTCTACATTATTTGGAAAGAAAAATAAAATGTGTGCCAATACTCAGGGCCGAGCGCTCTAAGCATGTCATTGGGAAATCTTGTTTGTTCTCTGCCCACGAGGCCTCCTTTATTTTCTTGAATGGCTTGAGCTTTCAGTAGTAAGAGTAGGCAGGAAATATTCTAATCCTGTTAGATTTTCCCTTTAGAATATGGGTCCATCATCAGAATTACAGGAAATTCCCTTGGCTGTCATCCTGGTTTCTTGTCACCATCAGACGAGGGCAAGGGCCATGTCTGACCCATCTTGTATTTCCAGCAGTCGCTTAGTAAACATTTGCTGTTAACCTTAGATGCTAATCATATGAGAACTACATGTGTTTTATTGGCTGTATTGTTTTGCACATGATAGATGCATAGAATGTAAGTTCTTGGAGCTTACAACTGTGTTGTTTTTTTTTTTCCTTTGGAGACCCAGTACCAAGCATAGTGCCTTATGTATATTGTAGGGTTTCAATAAATGCATGTTGAGTTGAATTGTAATAGGACCCAATTAGTATTGGTTGGTATTTGAATTTCTAAATGTTTCTCTTGTCTAAATGCCTCTAGATCAAAATGCAGAATTTCAGTTCCAGTGCAAAATTATCTGAAAACAATAAACCAGGAACCCACTTCTGTGTCCCTAATGAGCCAGAAGGAGTTCTTCCTATCAGGAAATGCCAGTCTAACTAGTCAACCCCTACAGACTCTCTAAGGATCAAATATGTTGTGAACACGCCACTGATGGCTAGGTAATACTTGCTGTCTGTACTTCCTACAACTGTTGCTCAGAGGATTTGAACAGATGAGGGTCAAGGTAAGGTCAGTAGGAAAAAGGCTTATAATTGGACTTAGGTCAGGTCCAGTCCGTTTCTTGCTTTGTCTTGCGAGCTGCCCTTTTTCCTGCTCAGGAAACACATTAAGAGTGTGGGCCTGACCACCTCCTCTCCCTCTTCCCCAGGACCACTAGCACCAGTGGAGGGCTGACCATCAGTAGCCTCCTCAAGGAGAAGGAGGGCTCCGAAGTGGCCAAGTTCACTCTGGAGGAGCTCTGCCTCATCTGCAGCATCCTAAGCACGGCCGAGTACTGCTTGGCCACGACCCAGCAGGTGAGCAAGCCGACGGCCCCTCTTCACCCCCGGACTCCCACCCCTTGTTCTCAGTGCGAGAAGACTGAGCCGTTGGAAAGGCAGTGGGTGCTAGCTCCGTGCAGTTTAGAGATACATCTGGTTGATTCGTTAGTGTTTATCAAAGAAACTTTTAAAAAATGTATTAATTCACTTTGCTTTGACACAAAAGACACTTCCTGAAAGCCCTCAAAAAAGTTCAAGCAAAAGGAAACCTCATTATGACCCTGCTGTGTGACCTTGGTCAAGTCACTCAGCTCCTTGGCCTGCTCATTTGTAAACTGAGGGGTTTGGACTAGGCGAGTCTTCCAGCTTCAGGTCTGAATAACCTGATTGCCATTGTTCGCACGTGGCTCTTTCTCCTTCAGTAGCTTTTCAGTTGTCTGTGGATGGGAAGCATATGCCTTTGACCTTGGATGATGTTGACCATTATACATGACCCAAGTTTAAATTCATAGGCTTGACCATGGAAAAGCACAGGAGAGGCACTGTAATGCCAGAGGTTCTGAACCTGAGGCCTGTGTTCTCTTTAATGTTTGGATAACTTTTTCAGTACAGTTGGTTTCCTTTGTAATCCTATATATTTTATTTTGTGCGTTTAAAAACATCAGAAGGGATCCTTAGACCTCTCTGGACAGCTGCCGGAGGGTCCAAGGCACAAAGAAGGTGAAGACCCCTTGATCTAATGAGATCTAATTGAATCCTCCCATTTCACAGAGGAGACTAGTGAAGTGCTGAGAGGTTAAATCACATGGGGGTGAGTAGCAGACCTGAGATTCAAGCCCAGGTCCTGTCATCTCAGACCTTCTTTCCCATCCACCTTACTGCTTCTTTTCTCCGGTTCCCCCCTGTGAACACAAGCAGCAATTTCAGTAGTGGAGGCTACCCCTGGAGGAGAATGACTGAGCAGGAGAGCCCAGCGGGCGGCTCAGGGCACTGATGTAGGGGGCATACCCTCCTCCTGAAAGTGGGTCACTAGCATCCCCTCATACAAGGAGGACAGTGATGTGCCTCATTGTGGAAGGGGCTGTGCTGATGCTTGACCTTTAGCCATGATGAATCACTGCCAGTGATTCCATTCTCAGGAGTGGTACCCGTTGAGGGAGGCCCCTGGAGGTTTGCGTCTGCCTCCTGAAATTGACATCGCATCCTCACTCTGCCTAAACAAGCAGCTTGTGTTTGGGACCATGACGTGCAGGAAGTGCGTTGCAGGAAAGGCTGACAACTGTTTGTTGGAGCCACCAAAAGTGGCAGCATCTCAGTGAGCTGAGGAGCAGAGGAGGCCACAGAAGAGCCCTCTCTTTGTACCTTTCTGTGCTCAACATGAAACTCACTAGAGGTGGTCGGGGCACTGAGGGATGCCTGTTAAAGTCTCAGCCTTTTCCTAGTGCTCTGGCTAATTCTTTATGTTTGTCTGGGTCGAAGGAAGACCGACATAAATTATTACTGAGTCGGCGTGACCTGCAGTTCTTGTATGCCAGAGGAAGAATGTATGAGGCCAAATAGAAAGTGTTCCCCAGAGACTTCACTCTTGGTGTTGACCCAGTGAAAAGCAGGCATGGAGTTGTTGGAGGGGAAGAGGCAGTTAGCAGTAATGTTCGGGGGAAGGGAACGTGGGGCTGCCTGGTGAGTGACCTGCAAAGAGTTGAAAGCAGCAGTCTGCAGCCTGTGACTGCCCGAGAGACACAGCTTCACAACTTTCTTGTTACAAGCAGACTTGTTCGGTTTTCCCAAAACCTTGGGTTCACAGCGGTGGCATGGGACGTGGGTTGATGTAAAAGTCCCTGAGTTGACCAGTTAGGCCTGAAAGCAGTGGAGAAGTGGGGTGTGCCAGTGGCCACCTGTCATATTTTCCCCTCCCCCATTTGAAATGCCTGTGAGTCAGTGGGGAGGGAGGGAAGCCTTGTGGGGATTTCCAGCCACGCCCCTTCCCTCCTGAAAATAGCTATGGGCTGCAGGAGGGGCTAGAAGGTAGCTGCCCCTTAGGTTCCTGGGTAGGGGGGCAGCAGGGAAAACCTGAGCCCAAAGTCAGGGAGAGAGCCAGGAAGGGGAGTCAGAAGAGAAGAAGGGAGAGGAGAGGCAGGCACGCCTAGGGGACTACATGGATTTGTAGCAGATGCTTCAAATGATTCCCTGTGGCCCCATTGTTGTCCATCACCTTTATCCACTCCAAAAACAAGGAGTGGGGCTGAGAAAGGAAACTTGGCTCTTCTTCTTACTGACCTTTTCTGTAGGAACCCCTCATCCCTACCAGTACAGTCATCATGGAGAAGAGGAGGGCTCTGTTTCCCATCTTGTCTCTGGCATATGGAGTACATGACAAGATGGCGCAGCCAAAGGGGAGGTTCCAGGATGAGAGCCTGGGCTGAGGGTACACAGCGACGAGTATGGCAGTTCCCCAACTCCCAGGCATCTTTGGGGATTCTTGGAGTTTCTAGCCTAGAGTGTTTTTCTTCTGAGATGTTGGGAGAAAGTAGAATAGGGGAACCTGTGGTGCCCCCTCACCTCCACAAAAACTCCCAGAGCTTGTTGGCAGACCCAGGGATGAGGAGGAAGGAATTTGTAAAGCAGGGGACCATTAAAATGGATTACGTGTGTGGTATAGTGGAGAGAAGCAGGAGGACCTGATTTCAAATCCTGCCTCCGACACTCACCCAGGATCCCTGGGCAAGGTACTTAATCTCTCTTTGCCTTAGACATAAATTCCCTGGATTTATCCACTAAGCTATAGATTAGTGGAAGGAGTTCCCATGCCTGGAGTTCTTCAAGCTGACAGCATCACAGATTCTTGACCTATTTGCGTAAATGAGCCCTTCTATTTAAATGAAATGCTCTGCACAATCCTCTTTGGGGCCTTCACTAAATATGTCATCATTTTCTTTGCTTCCTAACAGCTTGAAGAAAAACTCAAAGAAAAAGTTGATGCGAGCCTTATTGAAAGGATCAACCTGACGGGGGAGATGGACACATTCAGCACGTAGGTGCAGCCAGCCTTCCTTGGGGGGCCTGCCTTTCCCTCAAGGCCTGTGGCTGAAGATGCCTTTGACTGGTGCAGGATTCATCTCTTTTGGGGCCCTAGGGTAGATTGTGGTAGTGATACATGCTGCAGTGTAGCAGCCTGTGAATGATTGGGCTCTTCAGGGTGGGTACCAGTCTACCCTCTGTGATAGTAGAGGGAAGAAAACCCTCCTGCAGCGTCCCTGAATGGGGCACAGATCCTTCTAAGCCACCTGATGTCAAACCACAGAGGGCTTCCCATGGCAGGTTTTGGCCAGCCTGACTTCTACCTACCAGATAGAATAAGTCAGTGAACAAAATTAAGTGTACCAAACAATTCTGAGTTATAAAAAAGCATGATGCTTGATCTGAGTACTGTCTCTGTGTGTGCACGTGTGTGTGTGTGTGTGTGTGTGCGTGCACGCATGGAGAAATCTAGAGCTCCCAACTCGGGAACCAGTCTTGTCTTTATAGAAATTGATAGGATACTTTGAGAAGTAAAGCCCAGTCCAGCTGAGAACAAAAGCTCACACAGAGTCATTGCCTTCCTGGTGTTCCCCTGCAGGATGAACCAAATGTGATCAGTTCCTATTCTAGCCATATTCAGCAGGAGAGGCCAGGGATCAGCTTTCACTTAAGAAATTAATTGAAGAAAGCTCGAAATTCCCTTTAGCCATGGGGGCATTTTTTAGTTTCCTGTTTCTCTGGCTTCTGTTTGCAGCGCTAACACAAATATTTGGGGGGAAACGGTATAGCAGATTTTTGTGGGAGACCAAAAGGGATTTGGGGAGGGGAATCAGAGAGAGTCCCCATGGGAATTCCATGTCTAGACCACATGGAGGGATGACAGGATATATTAACAGGAACAGACCAGCCAGCAGGAATGCCAGAAATATTGCTGTCATGTTCCTCTTGAAATATATATTGAGCCCGTCCGATTACTTTATGGTTGGAGCCTTTTCACAGGACGGAGGCGACAGGAACCCCAGTTTAAAGAAAATGATCGTTAGCGTTTTAGGCTTGTCACTGACAGATATGATGTGTTTGCCTCACAGTGTCATCTCCAACAGTATTCAGCTGCTGGTTCAGGACCTCGATGCTGCCTGTGACCCTGCTCTTACTGCCATGAGCAAGGTAGGTTTTCAAGGAAGGATCCCCACTCAACTTTGACGAATCATTCCAAAAGGCTTCCATGACCCTTTTCTGAGAGCGACTGGCTCCCTACGTGCTACAGGTGTCAGCTTGAGGAGCAGAAAGAAGATCCTTTTTTGTACCTGCTAGCCAGGAGCCCCACCCAGGGCACAAGGCTCAGGGCACCAGGAAACTAAAACTAGTGTCAAACCAGTGAGACAGCAACACATGGTGCTCCCTGAAAAAATGAGAGATCAAAAGGATGAAATCAGTTTCTTGTCCTTCTAAAGTAAGAGACGGAACAAGTGTCTGCTGTGTGTGCGTTCAGCAAACAGATGGTGTTTAATTGGTGTCCACAACAGGCCAGCTTTCTTTCCTGCTGCTTTCAGGCACGCAACATGTTTTCCTCACCACTGTGACATAAGTGTCTTCAGGAGGATCTCTCAGCAAATGAGTAAATCCTCCCTGGCTTTACTGCCTTTCATTCTTACCCACCAAGAGCTTTGCCCACTTCCCTCTAAACTCGCTTCTGGCTCCATTGTTAGGAGACAGCCAGAGGGTAGAACCTTGAACTCATTGAGTCCTTGGAAGAATTTGTGTCAATAATTCATTACTTATTATCTGAACCATTATTTGGGGGCTTCTCAGCTTCTACCCTGGGGTATTTATCTTCGTGTGTGTGTGTGTGTGTGTGCGCGCGCGTGTGTGTCTGTGTGTATGCACGCCCACATGCACTATGTCTCTCTCACTGGGTTTCAAACTTCTAAGGGCAGTGAATGGACCCCGTACCTTCTTTATATCCCACAGAGCTCTAGGCAAAGCTTCCCATCTGAGTACCCACTCAGTGCACCCTGTAGATTAGGTGAGCCGGGAAGTGTGAGGTTTTTATTTCTAGAGCAGCACCAGAATGAAGCCATCCCCATGGAACCTTCTAGGTTCCCAGGTTCCGCTGCCTGCCCTTGGAAACTCAAAGGGAAGCTTTTCTCTAGGGGCAGCTTGGGCCAGCAGCCAGCGCTCTGTGTAGGAAGATGGGGGGGGGGGGGGGGGGAAAACTGTCCATGCCAGAAAGTTATATAAGCAGAAAGTTGTCTGAATTTGGGTTCACAGAGTATTGTAAATATTTAGTGAAAATAGAATTAAAACTGCAACTCTTCTTAGCTTTGTCCCAAGGTGGGGGCCATGAGGGAAGTGGGGAGAAAAGACGGAGGGAGGGAGTCTTGATATGCTGAGTGTTATGAAGTCACGTTTCCAGAATCGTGATTGTTTCACCAATATGCCTTCACCCTGGGAATTCCTACCAGACTTTGGTGTGTCCTCACTTGAGCCCTGTTTTCCACATTCTCCTCTTTCGTGTACAAGCAGGTACTTCTGCTCTGAGCAGGAGAATGGAAGCTGATTCATCCTCCTGAAAAAGTCAGAAACAGAGAGTTTAGGGTTCATTTTATAGGCTCTGATTATCCCCTAGCTGCTGTTGAATGTTAGCTGTATCCTGACCATGATGCATTCCAGCTGCCATCTACCCCCAAACCTCTGCACACTTTAGGTTGGAATGCAGCTGGTGAAAGAATTTTTACATTTTCCAAAGGAAGAAGGATCCTGCCTCCCTCCCTCCTCCCCTGCTCTCCCCCAGTAAAATAACACTTGTAGGGCTTTAACACTCCAGGTGTTGCTTATATGAACTGTCAGTTCATTAGGTGGTTTTTCCTCACACTTCTTGTCTCCCCATCCCCCCCCTTGCCCCCCAAAAGCTTCCTAGCCAGAAAATATTAACAAAGACTGGATCTTCAGACTGAGTTGTTTATACCATAGAAAAACCACAGACTTGGGAAAGTAGCAGCTGGTAGGCCATTGTGTTTTGTTCTTCTGCATCTTTGGAGGAAAATGAAATCCATGTGATGAAAATGACCAGATATAAACAAGCCAAGTGGTCGTAAATTGACTAAACAAATTCTTTCTGTTCTTGTCCCTAGGTTCTGTATTTTCTATCCATCAGGCTGTCAAATGTGGCTTCTTCCTCTAGGACTTTGGAAAGCTTCCATTTTGTGATACGGTTATTTATGGTGGCATGTTCCATTTGGCTTTGCCTCCTGTTGAATAACTGGTGTCTGAATAACTGTTCCTTATAAAACACACTTTGAGTCTGCAGAAGATGCATGACACTATACTGGGAGCACTGGGGCTTATGTAATTAAGGCTGGACACAGTAGGCTTACCATAAAGTCAGGGACTTTATAGTCGAATCTTGGAGACACAGTGGACTAACCAGTGAAATAAGTAAGCAATAAAATAAAGTAAAATAAAAACACATGCACATACCCTGACAACTGAAGAGTTGGAGTTCACTGGATTAGAAAGGGGTGGCAGACAGTTCTGAGACAAGCAAGGAAGTGGGAAGAAATTGAGCCAACACCTAAATGATTAAAGACACCTGATTAGCCAAAGAGTGGAATCGGCGAGCTCTAGGCATAGGGAATGGCTTGGGTAGAAAAACCAACATACGATCAGAGCGGGAGAGAGACACACAGAGACAAAGTTGTCTATGCTTGTCAAAGATTGAGGAGATTTATCTGAATGGAACCAGTAGGCAGTATAAATTGTGAGAGTAAGGCCTCTTGGTAAGACGAATCATAGCGAGTTAGAACTGGAAAAGGACCTCAGCTGGTCTCTTTGGTGTGTCAGTGCTTTCATTCTTCTCATTGACTCTCTAGAATTCCTCACAACAGCTCTTATAAACCTCCTATCCTCAAGCCCCTCCTCTTCTCTGTCTCCCGTCTTTCTTACACAAAAAAGAGGCCAGTCATTATGAGCTCTCTCTTTTTAAGACCCCTTGACATCATCCCCCTCTTCCTTCTGAAAACAAGCCCAAACCAGCCTTCTGTCTGCATCCTTGATCCCATCTCCTCCCCAAGCTTACCCTCTGTCGTTTCCACCCCCATTTGTAACCTCTTCCTTTCTACTGACCTCTTCCTGCTGTATATCAGCACACCTGGTCTCCCTCATCTTAAAAGAAAATGTACTTGGTTCTGCCATCCCCTTAAGCTACTGTCCAGTATCTCTCTTTCCTTTCCTAGCTTCTTTTGGCCTGAGTGTCTCTGCCCTCACATCCCCTAAGGCATTTGGAGATGTTGACACGGTCCTGGTCCTTGTTCGCTTTGACTATTAGTGAGCAGATCTATTTCAGAAGACTCCTTGAACTTCCTTGTTGGAGAAACATTTCAGTTCATTCTCCAGATTTTTATAATGGTCATTTTATGATAAAATGTTCATTGTATTTGTTGACTTGACCACATTTCTTTTTCAAAATGGCATTTTAATTAATATCTTCTGTTTTTATATTATCTACATTTCCTAATGTATCTTAAGGTTGAGGAATGTCTATCCCCTCCTCATCCCTGCCCCCAAATCCATCCTTTATAATAAGGATTAAAGAAGATGGGAGGTGGGGGCAAGGAAGTCTCTAGCAGAACCCCCCAGAACATTAAAGTCTGATACTACTTGTAGTACTTCACACCCGTAATTCCCAGCTCCTGCAAAGAAGTGGGGGAGGCATCTTCTATCTTCTTTGGAATCAAGCTTGGTCATTTTGATTTCACAACCTTAGGTTTGTGTTGTTTTCCTGGTTTTACTTCGTTTTGCGTCAGTTCTTATGTGTCTTGTGACTTACTAGAATTCATCATTTTTTACAGTACAGTAACATTCCATTACATTGGTGTACCACGTTTGTTCAGCCACTTTTTATTCAGTATATCAACAAGCATTTATTAAACGTGCACTGAGGAATACCAAGAGAGGCAGGGACAAAGAGTCCCTGTCTTCAGTGAACTTACATTCTAGAAGGGGAGGTGATAGATCCATAAATCAGTACATACGCAGAGCCTATACAAAGCAGATTGGAGGGAGGCTGCCACTGCCAAATATACTGCTACATATGGGGCCTTTAGAAGAAAATCATTGACCTCCTCAGAGTATATGCCCAGCAGAACTCTGGGTATTTTAGTCAGTTTCTTTGTATAATTCCAAATTGCTTTCCAGAATGGTTGGACTAATTCACATCTCCACCAACAGTGCAGTGTGGAACATTATTTTTAAAGCTACTGTTGCCTTTGGGGCTTTGCCTTCTGACGTTTTGAAGAATGATACTTCCTAGTCATCTCTCTCCCTTTCCTCCCTTCTCACTCTCTCTCTCTCCTTCTTCCTGTCTCCCCTCTCTCTGTCCCACCATTCTTTTCTTTCCCTCCTTCCTTTTTTCTTCTCTCTCTCTTCTTTCTCCCCCTTCTCCCTCCTCTTTCTTCTTTTTCACGTCCTTTGTCCCTCTTCTCTTCACCTCCCTCCTCTCCCTCCCTTTCTTCTCTTCTCCCCCTTTCCTATTCCCTTCACTCTTCTCCCTCCCTTCTCTCCTTTCCTTTCTTCTCACTCTTCTCATCTTCTCCCCTCTCTATCCTTCCCCTTACCTCCTCTTTCCTCTCCCTCCCACCTTTTCTCGTTAATGCTGATCCTGGCAGCCTTAGCAGCATTTTCTCCTCAATCAACATGTCACTACTTTCTTTTCCTGGAATTTTGGTTTCCCTACATCTTGGGTCCTGCTTTCTTCCCACATTGTTTTTTCTTGTTTACCGATTGCCAGTTGAATACCAGCTGGAATAATCCCAAGAAAAGCACAAAAGGCAAGACTTGAAAGTTGGAAAACTCCATTGAAAATGTCAGGAGCAAAGTTTACCAGAAGAAGTTAGGCTCATATTTCCACTGATGGCTTTTCATGATGTTTGTTCTTTCTTCCAGTCGAGCTACTGTTTACGCCCCGCCCCCCTTTAAAAATGCAAATACATTTATATTGTCCTCACCTTAAGGAGCAAGACCTACTTTGGATGGCCAGTAGAGTGATTGGATTTCTTTTACCAGTAGATTTGTTTTTCAGGGGATGTTAACAGGTAAAGCCACAGATTGGCCAGGAGAGCTAATGGGCAGCCACTGGGCAAAGCCATTGAAGTAATTCGCCAGTTGTT